AAAGAGACAATTCAAAATCCTTTATATGTTCCAGTAGAGTTGCCGAGATTAAAGCAACTTTGCAACGATAATCTGAATGCCGAATACTACTTTTCCCCTGGTATCTTGCATTTATGATTGCTTAACTCCAAACATACGAGGAAACTAATATTTTTTCTTTTCACTTATTTATATAGTGAAAATAGGATTTTCTATCTACCAAAAAACAAAACAAAAATAGTATTTTCTTCCTTCAAGACCACCGAAAATTTCTCATTGAGTGATTAGATAAGATTGTAATGTCTAAGAGTCATACGAAACGAGATGAAGATAGTTATGGAGTTATGGACTTATGGTTGTTGTACACTTGTACTAGCTAAGACTAATTTATTTATAGTAAATCATTAGTTTTAAAATTATTGTTTCAGTTTTATAGAAATATTACGAAATTCATCAAATACACTTATTTTTTGAGAAATGTAATTATATTCGATTAAATTATTCTTATACTTCGTTACTATTTTTCTTTTATTTCACTTAATATTAAAAGATAAAGATAAACTTTAAAATAAATATCTTCTTAATTTCTAACATAAATAACAATTTAAAATGAATTAAAAATTCTATAGCAATAATAATAATTTCAAAAATACCTATTCTTTATGATTTAATGTTTTTGTTTTTCTGAGGAAAAAGTTTCTCTATCACCACTTATTTAAGAGTGAGTGGTGGCAGAATTTTTTATTTATTTTTGCAATAAAAACAGAAATGTTTTTTTTTCATTATTTTATTATTATTATTATTATTATTATTATTATTTAACTTTTACATTGTGCATCGTAAACATTATTCTAGCATGCATAAGACTGCTTACTAGGTATTTTTCCCATTAATACTTCAAAATTTCCGTGGAGAATCTCAAGAGAAAATGATAAAACACAAAGCAAACCAATCTATTTATCTATCTATATCTATATTAAAGAAAAACTATTCTTTGGCAATTTTGCTGATATGTCACTTTATCATGAATCCTCCACTTTGGCAATTTTTATTCGAGGACCGATATACTAACTACCGTGGTTTTTTACTACCAGTTACTACTTTGTTAATCACCGTTAGATTATCATATTAATCAACGGTTATTATTAGTTTTAATTTTTCGACAATCTCTCTCTTCTTTCTCAGCTTTCTCTTCTTCTCACTCTCTTTAGTTTTCATTTTCTTTTTATGCTTCAACTCTGCTCCGTCACCAGCTCAATCCGCACCGCCCTCTTTTTATGTTTCCTGAAGACAACAGTTACCCAAATCATTCAAAACCAATTATTTAAAAATCCAAGGCTTAAAGAACGCAAGAACACAAGTGGAAGAGAGTAATCCGAAACTGAAGTAGAAGCTAGGTTTGGGAGTTGGACACGACAACATTGCATTGGGACTCTCGCGCATGAAGTTTTCTCTATCTTTCGAAACTTGAAAAAGGTGTCTATATGTTTTTTCTTTAGTTATCTCTGACTTGTTTGTTCAGTTTGCTTGAGCTTCTCACTAGTCACTATTTTACTTCCTCGACTTCATAAAGGGTTCAATTTCAGTTGGGACCTTGTTCTAGTAATCATTGCTAACCATGTTGCACTTTCGAAATATTTTTTAGTTCAATTTCCTTCAGTTTTTCTTTGTCCGCCCTCTAACTCTGCTCCGTCACCAGCCCAACCGCACCACCTTGTTGTGCTCATATTCTCCATTTTCAATAGGTGAGTGTTTTAGTTTTTGTATTTGGCATTTCAATTCATTCTTCCAAGATGGGTTTTTAAATTTTGCAGAATTTTGTGTTTGTACATCTCTTAAGCATTTGATTTTAATTTTCTGGTTTTAATATGCTCAAGCAATGGTCAGTTGAAGACAGAGAAAAGAGAAATGTAGTTGAAGGTAAACTTTTACAGTTGCATTTTGGGAGCTCGAATCTCCAATCTGCAAAGGTTAGTTTTTTATTTTTATTTTTTAAATTTTGTTCTTTCTTTCCTTTTAGAATTTTGTTAAATTTTTTGTTTGCTTCCGATATGAAACCATCTTTCTAAATATTCTTAATTCGTTCAATCAGCTTAAAATCATTGGTCTATCGATGCTACAGTGTCGCACATTGCATTATTTTCGTTTCTATAAATACTGATTTTGGTTTTTTTTTTCATTTTCAATTTCGATTATCGATTATTTTAGGTATCTGGCAACCTTGGAAGCATGGATGAAGATGTAATAAATTCTGCAAACTTCAATGAGAATGAAGATGACATGCTTGATAAACTGGGAGATGACATATTGAATGAACCAATTAACAATATGTCAAATAGTATTGTGTTGACGCCGACAAAGAATATTGATTGTTTGATTGAGGTTGGAATGGAATTTTCTGAACGAAAGGATATATTAGACTTGTACACAACATTTGCTAGGACAAGAGGTTTTGGAGTTCGGGTTAGAACAACTAAGAAGACCTACATGAAGGTAACATGTGCTAGAGAGGGTTTTACAGAATAAAAAAAAAGAGAGTGTTGATCAAGTTTCTCACGGTAATTTGATAAGGAGGACATCATCAGCACGCATAGGGTGTGAAGCTTGTATTAAGGCTTGTACAAATGAAAAAAATAAAATTGTGGAGAATTACATATTTTTCTGACAACCATAATCATGGTTTGGTTTCTCCAATGAGTGTTTCATATCCGAGATCACACAAAAAAATGCCTGCTGCTGCAAAATCATTGATAGAAAAATTCAATGATTCGGGTTTGCCCATCGGGAGGCAATGATGTATTGTTTGATAGTCGAGATTGTTATAATCATATGAAAAATGTGAGAAAAAATATATATGATGCAGGGGATGCACAAGCTGTGTTACATTATTGTGTTAAACAAAAGACATTGAATCCAATTTTTTTTATTCCATCAAGTGTGATGAAGATGATCGCATGGAAAGCTTTTTTTGGTTTGATGCAAGGTCTAGGCAGGCCTATGAGCTTTTTGGGGATGTCATCACCTTTGTCACAACATATAGGACTAATAAGTATTCCATGACATTTGGACCTTTTGTTGGGGTAAATAATCATTTGCAGTCAATCTTGTTCGGATGTGCTCTATTAAAAGATGAAACCGAGCAAACTTTTGCTTGGCTATTTGAGGAATGGCTTCGAGCAATGAATGGGAAACATCTGATTGCTATAATTACTGACCAAGTACATTCAATTTAATTTCATTTTATTGAGTTGTTTCGTACATTACTGATTGCATACTTACATGTGTTATTGAATTTGTAGGACATGGCAATTACCAATGCGGTATCCAAAGTTTTTCCAAAAGCCAAACATCGATTTTGTTTGTGGCATATTATGAAAAAATTTCCAGAGAAGTTTTCCCATGTTTATCATGAGCATGCATCTTTTGGTAATAAAATACATCAGTGTGTTTGGAACTCCAAAAACACTGAAGACTTTGATGATAGATGGAATCATATTCTTGTTAAGTATGGTCTTGATGGAAATGAGTGGTTGCATACATTATATTCAATTAGATCCTCTTGGGTACCAATATTTAACAGGTCCACTTTCTTTGCTGGTATGAACACTACGCAGCGGAGTGAAAGTATAAATTCATTCTTTGATGGTTTTGTTACAACTGGTACAACATTAAAAGAATTTGTGGAGAAATATAATCAAGCTGTAGATACTCGCTACGAGTCTTTCAGAAGGGAAAACTTTGAATCTATGCACAAAGAAAGGCGTTTGGTATTGAATATGCCATTGGAGAGACATGCAGCTAAAGAATATACCTCTAATATTTTTGACAAGTTCAGCAAAGAGCTGTGTGATAGTTTACAATACTCTACGGAGAAACTTGGAAATGACGGAGAATGGGAAATCTGAAAAGTTTTTTTTTTCACTTTACACGTCAGCGTGACTGACTGGATAGAGAGAGAAAAAAAGCAACTTTTTCGTAGGAAGAGAGAAGAAAAAAAGCAACTTTTCAGATTTACACACAGTATGACCAGTCATACTTTGTGTAAATTTAAAATTTTTTTTTTTCACTTTACACATCAACGATGTGACTGGGTAGAGAAAAAAAAGTAAAACACCTAAAAGGACACAAGCTTGTGTCATTAAGAAGGATACTTCTTTTTCCCTTTTTTAAGAAAGAAGAAGAGAAACTCAGTGGCAAAATGGAGTAAACTAGCATTTTAGTTTAACTTATTTCCTTATGTAATAAATCCTTTCATGTGTTATTTAACACGACCACCATATCATATGAGAGAATACTCATCATTCAAGGGTGAATTAACGGCGGTGATGATTTTATAATTACCTATTCTAATTTTTTTTTTTTCTCTTCGTTATCAGTCTTTCTTATCACCATTGATTCACTTGCACATAGTTATAATTCTTCTCCATGATATGATCATGTTAAATAACACATGAATGGATCCACTACCTTTGCATAATTAGCAACTTAGTTATCATTATAGTATGATTATTCATTCACATTACTGCATTTGTTATTTATCTCTAATTAGGGACTAACATGAAAGAAATAAAAAATAATTTAAATTAGGAATTAAATTGCAAGGGAGTTACATTTTCAAGTAACAAAATACCATTTAATTCAAAATAATAATAAAAAATAATAATAAAAAATCTGACCTTTGGTTGAGCCAGTTACCAAAACGTTGTAAGGTGGAAGCATGGGCTCTCTATTACTAGAAGAAGCCGTTACAAGCAAAGTTTGATTTCTGAAAGCACTGAGGCTGTTACTGTCACTGTAACTGTTACTGTTATTGGGTATGCACAAAATGCAGTCGTTGTTTATGTAAATTTATTTTTTGTAGATGCTGAATTAGAGGGATTATTTTGTGCTGTTCTCCACTATTCTTTATAGCATTTGATTCTTATTATTTTATCCAATACAGAGATGAAATTAAATGAAATGAATCATAATATCCAATACAGAGATGAAATTAAATGAAATGAGTCATAATATCATTGTAACAATCTCATTAACAATAACAATTTTGAATTTTTGAATAAATAAAAATTACATTTGATAAATAACATTGAATCTCATTGGTTGTCCTTAAATCCACTAAATCTGTTTCAACAATTAGCCATATGCATATGAAAAAATCAGCCATGTGACTCTCCAAATAACAATCAGCTTTGTGCATATCCAAAATCAGCCATGTGCATCTCCAGAAATAACCATGTGCATCTCAAAAAATCATCCATGTGTAGCACATAACTACTGTAGGAGTGTAGCCATGGAATTTTGAATTACTCTTTGCAAAGAAGTAATACAATTCCGGCAATCAGATTCAGCAAAAATGTGAAAGAAACTATAGTCCCTCAATAAAGTTGCCCCAACAGCAAGCTAGCTGCTTTAGCACCTGAGACATCCATATTTTCAGTGAGCTTCCATGATGCATCATCCATATCTGATCTCAACTAATGACCAGCTACCTTAGAACTTTCCTGTTGATATTCTTAGAGTAAGCAAGACTCATGAGTAATATACCTACACCAAGACCCAAAAAGTTCAATGGCATACCTGTGAAACAGACAAGGATAACAGATAAGTTAACTGTAGCGTAAAAGAAAGTCGGGGAAAAAGCTGACTGGGCCATAAGCAGTTGCTGAGATAAAATTGACAAAAATTACAACAAAAGACCCAGATCAAGCCTCAATAATAACTGAGCATAGAGCAGCAAAAACTGAAAGATCTCACTATTCACTACACATTTCTTCACTCAGATTATTTAACTTTTGCATCACTTCACAGGATAAAACAAAAAGAATGGAGATTTAGCCATCAATTTGCCACATTTGTAAAAGGAAGAATCCAGAGTGCAAAAGTAAGATGCTGTATTTTTTCTTGGATTATGATACACAGAAAGAACAAAATGCATGGAAGACCAACTACATAGCAATTCTTCTCATATATGCAGGGACGAGAAAATAAAACAAGCAAACATAGTAGGTTGCCATGTAGTCACTTCAAAGTAAGAGATATCAATAGCAAGTGTCCTTATTGTCCACCTCGTGAGTCGTGACTGCTTTTCCTAATATTATAACAGATTCACTCTTCAAAATCCATAAAAGAAATCAATCTTTTGAAATAATTATGTAATACCATAATGACAATCTTCATACTTAAATTAGAGTATTAAACAAGTTGAACCTAAGAAATTAACCGAGTTTGACTATTTTTCTTGTGAGAAGCCATTTTGACTGTAACCTGATTTATAGTGAGAAGCAAGATATAAATATGACGGACCTAGAAAGTAGGAGTAGGGTATCTTATTACTAAATCACGCATTCCAGCTCTCACGTATTGACTCCAAATTAAATACAAAATTTTCAGACATCACTTCCTATCCATCAATAACATATGGAAGTGAAAATAAATTTCCAGTGTACCAAGTGAGTGATGTGACCTTGAGAAATGAATGTAGTTAGTTTATCACTTGTATGGTTAATATAGCTAGAGGCTAAAAGTCCACTCACTGCACGCAGATAACAAAAAAAGGAGAGAGACGGGGCTGGAGATGAATATGAGATTGAACTTTTAAGGAAAGCTTGACTAAGAAAAGAAACTATAATAGACAGCATTTGAGTAAGAGAAACAGAATAAGAGCGTGCTTGGTTGAGCTAAAAATATACAGGTGAAAATTTTAGAATGAAAATTAATTAACACATAATTAGTACCACAAAAGTGTGGGATAATACAAATTGGAATGCAATCCTTTTTCATACCACCATATTTGTTCCATAACCAATAAATAATCCCATAGTATGAAAGTGAGCTAAACTAAAAGTACTTGTCCGTCCATTGAAACCTTTCCATCTCACTTGATTTTCCCTCTCCTCTCTATTTTCCAGATTAAATAGTTACCAAATACCAATATACAATCAGTTAAAAACATATATATCGAATTAGCCTAGAGCGACAACATTAATATTAGAATAAAATAATTAAAAAGGAGACTGGAAAGCTAATTCTGAATTATTTGCACGGACTTAAGAACTTGGCTAAAAAAATGATTCCAGCAACTTAAAAAGTTTGCTAATAAATAATTTCAACATCAACCAGCCCAGTATACAGATTGCGGCCTTAGGGTACGTGAAAAAATTTTCAAAAGGTAGCAAAATGTCTAAAATGAACCGATTAAAAGAAGTTCAAAATGAAAGAGAAGCAAAGAAAATAAATACAGCATGAAACAACAAACCTCTGAAGCCCCATCCTACCCCGAAACCGCAACCTACACCGAAACCTGAAAAACAAATATAAGCGTCAGATAGAAATCTGACATTTCGAATATGCAGAAATCATGGCACCCAAATCAGCATACCAAATCTGACATTTCGAATATGCAGAAATCGTGTCCAACTCCCAAACCTAGCTTCCACTTCAGTTCCGGATTACTCTCTTCCACTTGTGTTCCTGCGTTCTTTAAGCCTTGGATTTTTAAATAATTGGTTTTGAATGATTTGGGTAACTGTCTTCAGGAAACATAAAAAGAGGGCGGTGTGGTTGGGCTGGTGACGGAGCAGAGTCGAAGCATAAAAAGAGAATGAAAACTAAAGAGGGTAGGAAGAAGAGAAAGCTGAGAAAGAAGAAAGAAGAGAGAGATTGTCGAAAATTTAAAACTAATAATAACCGTTGATTAATATGATAATCTAACGGTAATTAACAAAGTAGTGAATGGTAGTAAAAAACCACGGTAGTTAGTATATCGGTCCTCTTTTTATACAATAAGAAAAAAAAAGAAAAAGCAGGTGCCTTGGCTTGGATGCTAATAACACAGCATCTGTCAACTATCGAGCTTTACCCTACTCCACCTATTCGCAGGCCTTTGTGAACTTTGAGCCAACTGACGAGGCTCCAAGAATCTATCACTTCTAGGTCTCTTACGAGGCTCCAAAAATCTATCACTTCTAGGTCTCTTATGAGGCTCCAACGAACTTGCATAACCCATAGCATCAGTCCTTCCACCTCTCGTGTCTCTATGTCTCTTATGACGATTTGGTCTTGGTCCACTTGACTTCATTTCCTTGTCAACTTCATAGACCAATGGTTGGATATCCTGAAGATCAGGCTCTGGAACATACCCAAAAGGCCGCTTGGATGGATCCATTCTTCTAAATGTTATTGATATCCTAATAAGAGTTTTAACAAAAAAAGAATACGGATCAATAATAAGTCATTGGTGTCAAAGCCACGGATAGAAGAATATCATAAAAGTAAGTAAATACCTTCTCATAGGAACTGCAGGTACACAGTGTTTGGCTACATCAGCTCCATTTCCATTTAAGACAAGTACAGATCTAGACAAAAAGGACAAACTATAAGATTCTGAATGATAGAGGCAGATTGATGAAGATTTTAATCTAACTCGGTCTATAGTCATGAGCAAAAGTTGAAAAACTAAACAAAGTCTAGTGGATAAATCCAGATAAAATACTTACCCGAGAGGTAGGGGAATAGTAAATGAACCATCAAATTCACCAGGGCCCACAATCTTCAAGTTTGACCCAAAAACTATATTGCACTCACTAAGAAATGAGACAGTGCAAAACGGTCGAAGAAAATCATGGCTATCTATATGTGGAGGTATACAGTCCCCTTCCTCATAGATATTCACAATGCAACTGTCTGGCACACAAGTAGGAGGGAGCACATGCCACTTAATGAGGCGTCGGATGATGACCTTAAACAGATCGGGTATGGGGTCCACCGTTACACGCGGAAGAATACCGGGTGGGTTACCATCTCTATCCTGTAAGCAGAAAATTAGATTTTAAGAGTTTCATCCCTTAACAAACTCATCAGCAATTATATTGCACCACCAAGCATTAAAGTTAACTTGTTTCCAAATAAAGAAATGATAAGTCAGCATGAAAGATGCACTAACCACTGCATAATTGTAACAGCAACCGAATTGGATAGTCTCACGTCCCTTGCCTCTCATCCATTTTTTAGGAGCCGTGAATGTCCGATCTGAAAAAGTTAAGAATTAACATCATATAGCCCCTCAGAAGTAGCACCACCCAACACATTTACCAAATTATCAACATGATATAGTCAATTGGGAAAAAACAGAATGTTTTTAATGTTTTCATTATCTTATGATGCATAGTTAGCATATCTGCATATGCATAAGGCCCAACGGATGTAAAGTCTGAGCCCCACCAAGTTTATTCCTAAAGAAGAATAATTCTTTATTAGTTCCAAAGTCATGGCCTCACTAAGTTTTGGTCAGCCCTCAAAATTCTGGAAAGACATGAAAGTTACAGCTACATAAATTTGTTACTTCCCATGGCTAGTGTAGTCAAAGGCATCAAAAGACACTGAGGCGAGGCACTAGAAGGGGTCAGTGCCTCTGGCTGGTTGAGGCACTGCCTCTTGATTGAGGCACATGCATGCCTTTTTGATTGAGGCGAGGCACACTTTTAGCACCTCATAACTGTAAGAAACCCAAAAAAGCATAGCCACCTAACTTACAATTATGATGCAGAAGGGGTAAAATCATAATTATCAATCTTGGATTGTGTAGCAGCCAACCCCAAAACCTCTAGCAGTATAGCCTCTATAGTGAAGTCCACATTATGTGATTAATTAGAGAATAAATACAAAACCATTATGTGATCATAATCATTACCCAAAACATGAAAGAGAAGTAACTGGTTTAGATTAAGAAAAAAATACTGGATTAAAGCACTAAATTCAGTCTACTACTATTCCCTGCATTAAATGCTCCCGTTACTTGCATGCTGCCCTTTTATCCCTAGGACTTAAAATATTAGTAGCAAAAATAAAATCAATTCTTGATCAAAATATGATTATGAACAAAAGAGAAAGGTCGATTCATAATTATAGGCTAACAAAGTAAACAGAGACAAGAGACGAGTAATAGACTGTTAATATAGAATTTTAAACAAACCGGTAAAAAGACCATAAAGCCCATGAAAAATGGCTGTTGGAAATTTTAATCGAGGGTAAACTTGAAAAATCACGCCATTTCACTTGCACTGTGAAAGGCTGCAATTTGTCCACAATTGCAGCCGCAACATCTTGTTGCATTGCAGCACGACAAGTAGCGGCCACCGTCCACTACCGTCGTGGGATTGCGCGCAATTGCAGCACAATTGATAATTGTGCATGATAACAAAACCAAAAAACTCCATTTGATTGAATTTATTTAAATTGAATAACATTACTTTCAATGTTTTTCTCTTTTCTCTTTCAATTTTACTACATCATAACATCTATTTTTATTGACATAAATCTCTCACAGTAACACACACATGAAGGAACAGCCTTCCAATCTCATCTCTCTCTCCTAGTTCTTAGAATTACCCCTAACTTCTTAGTAGGGGAGCAATTGGCCATGGGGTCGCTACGGCGCAATAGCGTGCTATTAATAACCTAGGATAAAATAATTAGAATGTTAAAATAAATAACTACTTGTCCATCTTTGGGAATTGGGACTATTAATACCACACAGCTTAGGGTTATGTAAATTTTGAAGGTTCTAATCTTTTATATTTATTATGAATGATAGGCTTGAGTTGTTAATTTATAAGGCAAATTTACTTAAAATAGTCAAACATTATAATATTTTCTTATTTTTCCTAATGTTAACACCTTTCTTCAATAAGATTTTTTTTTTTTTTTGGCACATCCTTCCTCATAGAGTTAAAAACCACTACCGCCTTAAGGGCGCTTAAGGAACACTATAAATAATCTATTGCATTTATATAAAACTTGCAGCACAAGAAGCCAGACAGAGTGATTACAATTTTGGACATACATCAGATCAGGTGTAGTTTATTTTCTTCTTTCTCGAATGAAAATTAATTCAGAGAACAGCAATAGCAAAACAAGGAATGGTTTCAATCAAAGGTCAATTCAATTCATGCATCATTAGACAATTACAAAACACATAACAAAAAAGACATAGAAAAATAACAGAGAACAGCACTAGCAAAACAAGGAATGGTTTCAATCAAAGGTCAATTCAATTCATGCATCATTAGACAATTACAAAACACATAACAAAAAAGACATAGAAAAATAACCTAGAAGTGAAGGGTGAAATCACAAACCTTTCAATTCTCCCTTTCTCCCCATCTCTTGTAGTGAAGCAACGTAACTGACGATCCTCTTCTGTTCAGCAGCACTGAAAATACCCGTGTGGAGTTCCAGTCCTTCGAGGATGTTAACGAGCTTCCCATGAACCCTCTCCAAACATATGAAATCCTTCTTACGCCTCACGTTCATAAACCTAATGTACTCCCTCTGCTCCCTAGGTAATGTAGGCTTCTCAGCAACAACTTGGATTGCTTCTGAAGAATTTGAATTTGAATTTGAAGCAGCCACCACAACATTAGATTTTTTATTCTTTTGTTCATGAACTACTTCATCGAAATCATCATCTTCCTGCGCCATATCAGCCCAGGACATTCGAGGAGTCTCGAAATTCGAATTCGCCTCTGCCCCATCATTCCAACTACCAAGAGAATGCGCGTCACAGTTATCTTCAACGCCGTCACTCATCTCCTGTGGTTGCACGTTCGAAACATCATCTCCTAGGCTTTGAGACTCTGCACATGCAAATGCAACGAAACTTGTGAAATTAATTTCGATGGGTGAAATCCAAGAAAATCAAGAACCAATTAAAAAAATCAAAAATTTCAAAAGAATTACAAGTTTTGGGGGGTTGATGCTACCTGGGTGAGGGTCGATGGAGCGGATGCGATCGGAGAGCGATTGGGCGCAGTTGGTGCAGAGATCTCGGGAAAGGAAGGGAAGCCATGTACCCAAAAACTCAGAAGCAATTCGGCGTTCAGAAGGGTTGTAATTCAGGAGGAAGGGATCTTTGTTGGTAGCGTGAGTTTGGTCCTCCATGGCGTTAACTCGATTTGCTTCGCCGTATCTGAATATGAAACACAAACACGTCCTAGGTCTCGAAGAGAAGAGGGTTAGCAACTTCGCGTAGGAACTACGATCAAGTTATATACTTATATATATGTTTTGTTTATTTTATTTTATTAACGCGGTAATAAAAAAAGATTATGTGTACTAACAAAAAGATCATGTGCAGATACGGTAAGATATCATACTTAAAATTTCGATTTTAATTCTGATTTAAAATTTTAAATCTGTATTTTTATAATTTTATGATTTTTTCTTAATCAAAAAAATTCCAAATATTTTTATGATTTTTTTACTTTAAATTTTTTTGTTTTGGGATTTTTTATCCTTTTTCAATGTTAGGTAAAATTTCAATTTTTTTTAACTATTACGGTAGGCACCTAATAAAATAATGCCTATCTATCTTAATATATAAAATTAGAGGTGAAAATATTGGTTGAGCCCAACACCCGTCAAAATGGGGTGGGTTGGGTTGAAGTTTCAACCCACCAACCCACTTCAAACCGCCTCGCCTAGAAGTGGGTCAAAAGAGGTTAACTCGTCGGGTTATAATTTTATTTTTTTATTTTATTTTTACAATTAGGTAATATTTCATTTCTAATTAAATTTTTGTGATATCTAATTTTTTTTTATCTTAGTACTTTATAGAAAAAATAAAGAATAACAATTTTATTTATGACAAATGTTATCTATATATGGAGATAAATGAGTTCCTAAAGAATGTTTAACAAATATTAGTATACATTTAATATTGAAACTGAAAAAAATAATAAGAGAAGTGTAAAATAAAATAAAATAAAATAATATTAGAAAAATTTATAAAATATAATTTATTTTTAAATTTTAATTAATTTTTTTTAATTGGCGGGTTGGAGGGTCGACCCGTCAACCCACCATAAAACGATGAGTTCATTTTTTCAATCCATATTTAATGACTGGCCAACCCGCCCCGCCCTGTTTTTGGCGTATTGGTGGAGGGCGGGTCAACCCAAATTGCCACCCGTGTATAAAATCTCCATCCAAACTTTGGCAACTTTGTTGACGTGTCACTCTTTCCTTTATTCTCAGGTTTGTGTTTACATTTGAAAAAATTTGAAATGTTTCTTTTTTACAAAAATTTTAAAATTTAAATTTTCAAAATCATGAGTGGGAAAATGGTTCAAATTATATGGTGGAAGTAAGATGTATTATATGGTGGGAAAATGGTTCAAACTAAATTTTAAACTTATCTTAAAACATAGATTTTGACGTAACACAATGGCGTCGCTTGATTCATGTAATGGACCCAATTTAGTGAAAAAAGAATTTTGTTGTCGATGTTTCTATGATTTTCACGAACCAATTAATCAATTATTCACTACTTATATCCTTTTCTACCTACTAGTTTATCATGTCAATGCACCCTGAAGGAAAAGATGGGTCTTGGATCCTTGGGTATGCCTCTACGAAGATATGGTCATTCCCATGTGCTCAAGGCTCGAAAGGGGTCTGAAATTTTGACTCCAACTCGTGACACATAGGTTTGATCGCATCCTAATCCCATTTTGGAAAGGATATCAGACAAAAGAAAAGAAAAAGAAAAAGACAAGTATTGTTTTGTTAGTTAATTGAGCCACTAGAAATTGGCAATAAAGGATCACAAAAGAGCTTAATCATTTGAACAAGGACATCATATTCCTTTCTTCTAATTGCATTGAAAAGTCTTCAATCGAGACGGCGCAAGAGGTACTCGACCTGAACCTCCTTGGTAAGAGGTATTACCCATTTCTGGTATAAGCGAGAAGCCACTGATGGATCAAACTTGTGATTTCCATTGTTGTCATCAACACTATTAAGGCTTATTTGCCGCCCAAACATCATGGCCTTCTTTTCAACCCTCTTAATCACCATCTCTTCAACGCTCTCAAATGTCAACAATTTCATCAATGCTTCTCTGTCCTACAATAAACAATAGTGTACCGTTTTAAAAATGTAAGCTAGAATAGCATAAAAAACTAAGATTATAATATAACACTTGGACAGTGATCATAGATATAAATTAAAATGATGGAACTAAATTTGCCTACACTCAGCAATCTGCACCCATATATACCTTAGCACGAATTAAAGGCTCATAGTCTTGAGGAGATTCCCTGAATTTCACCTCAGCTACAAACTTTCCATAATGAATCCTTCTAGAGATTGCCTGCAGATATTTTGTAGAATGAACAATCAGAATCAGCACTAGTTTAAGGCCAATAGGACACTAATGAAAATTCTCTTATAAGTTGGACCAGAATACATGCACAAAATGATAGTTGAGATTGCTTTTCACAAAAATTAAACTAGTTGTTGATTACCAAGATTGCTATACAAAAATTCATCCATAAACATACTCCTAAGAGAACTTCAAGAGAAAACCTTACCTGCAATAATGAAAGATCACTAGCTGCAGTTTGTGCATAATTGCCATCATCACCCGAAGTAACAAACAATGGAAGCAACTCATGAAAGTACATTTTCCAGATGGACTTGTTTATGTTAATCGAAGAGGCTCCTGGATGCAAAATCTAAAGATGGAATTAATTTTAAAAGAAATCCTTCTTCTTCTTAGTTGCATGAGCTATGGAAATTGGAAAATCATACTAGAGCTTTGGTGAATTACCTGTGTGAAGGGGTAAGCTGGCACAATCGATGGTGGTAAATTTTCTGGGAAGAAGGGATTTTCTTCAGGGTTTTCGTATCTTCCAGCCTGTAATATACCACATTATTTTACGTGTAATATTCTTTCAAATGCAATAACAGACTACAAAGCAAATAAGAACCACTCACGGTAATTAACAGAGATCTAATACCCTTATTATTGCATTAGTTCATAAAGTCCATATATCCCCAGGTTAAGAAACTTGATCAGTGAGTGATAACAGAAGCAGAAAATCCTAAACTAAATCTAGCAAAAGTTCCATCTCGTTAAGACACTAGGAATATCAATTTATCCCTCCATACTCAGCCACTAGGAATGCTTTGTTGGAGACTATTGGCATTCTAAGTCGTGTAAGTATTCAACATATGTCTTAATTCTAAAGTCTATGCTGCTAGATTGCAAGAGAAATTATCAGCTAGCATATTTAATAACACCCTATTCACATCCATTTGTACAACTACAACTACAATCTTAAGAATCTGCCCAAATTCATGGAAAATAAGGCACATACCAAGGTGTCAGTTAATGACATAATTTGACAACCGAAAACAAAACAAGATATGAAAATAAGACAAGCTAAGAAAAGACAAGGTAATAGTAATTACTAACCTTAGCTTGAACAGCCTCTGTATCCTTAACAACAAAGTCAACCAATGAGCCACAAAAATCCGGGATTTTAGAGTAGCTTTCATCATAGGTGTGAGAATTGATAGGGAACTTGGCTCTCTCAATGAGACAAAAAACGATGGTATCTTCTTGCCTAACCAAAGCCTCCCTCACTGAATCCAGCGTGTATCCATTCCCAGACTCAAGACTCGTTTCTGCTTTGGCCATTCTGTATCTAACAGTAGAAATCAGCAACACAAGAACCAGCAAGGGAAATCGAATCATCATTTTATCAACCAAAATTGTCAAACAAAAGACCCAAAAGAACACAGAAGATTATGATTATGATATGATAATAAGATCCACATTATATAGCATAAGGAGATATAAATATATAAATGCAATGATAAATGGTAAGTCAAAACAGGGCCGCCACCCATATAATCATAACATATATGTTTGACATCGTAAACAGAAAAGAGGCTGTACATAGTACATAGACAAAGTCAAACGATGGAAAGAGGAAAAGTACCTTTGTAATTAAGGTTGTCGAAGTTTTACGGTTGCGGAATGGAATTTGATCCTGGGAAGAGTTGTTGGAATGGGCTTGATTATAGACTAAAGTGTTTTCAATGTATATATATATAGGGAAAAGGGTGGAGTAGTACTGTTTAAGATTAAAAATATTGGTGTTGGGAAACAAAGCTTAATGGGGAAGTAGCAGAAAGTGCTTTGTCGTGTGTAACGTGTCTTGGTTGTCCCTTCCTTCTGAATCGGAACTTGCCATTCGCAAGAACAAGCGTGTGGGTCACCACACAACACCCAAACCTCCTCCTTAAGAAATCCTGCCGTTATATGGGCCCACTCCTATGCTTTTTATTGGAAGGGTGATCAAAATGTCATCATTTGACAAAAAATTTATTTAAATGGCACGTGAATAATAATTTTTACCAAACTGCCACATAAGCATACAACGGGTAGCATATTATATTCGTCAATGATTTTGTGACACGTGACACTTTCGCATGAAAAAGCTGACGTGTCATAATCGCTACCATTGGTAGTGAATTTGGTTTGTAATATGGTCACGTGTCACGAAATCATTGGCCACGAAATTCGCTACCAATGGTAGCGAATTATAACACGTGACAGTCTGATAAAAAATATTGTTCATATGACATTTGGATAAAAAATTTAGTAAAACGTGACATTTTGGTCATGAATCCCTTTTTCTTCTTCTTGCTTCAAATTTCTTAGTAATAAATTTGTTATTTAATAAAAGGGATAGATTATTTTACTTATTTTTTCGTATTTATTTTATTCATCATTTTTCAATATCATTTTATTAGAATCTCAATAGAAAGATAAATAATAAAGGTTAGTTGAGATTTTGATATAAGAAAATTATAGAGTAATAGTAATGTAGGCTTGGAAAAAAAAAGTAAATAGATTTTTTCATGCATTTCTTATCTTCTACTATCCAACACCGTTAATTCATAATCTCAACTAACATTTATCATTTCTCTCTTTTCTTGATATTCTGATATAGAAAATGATAATAAAGTAGACATAAAAAAAAAAAGTAGAATAACTTATTCCAATATAAAATTATTAAATAAGTATTGAAAATTTATAATTGCAGTTTAAAGTATTTATTGTCGAGAGTTATTGAAGTAGTCATATTTAAATGGTATAATTTATTAAATAATGTTATTGAAATTCCCTTACAGAAGTTTTTAGCATTTAATAATCCTAGAAAGATATTAACATGCTATGATTAACTAAATAACGTTATTTAAATTTCCTTACCCAGGTCGTCGGCAGTTGATTGCGGAGAGCACAAACATGACCGATATTCCGTTTCCACCTCAGCCTTGTAATTTGTATTTGTCACCGTTTACATCATCTTATGACTTTACAATTCGTTCAGGCGTTGACATTTAACAAAAATACTATAGAAATCTCTTCAAGTTCAAGGAATTATGTCAATTCATGTGATCATTTTAGAACATGAGATGGAGTCACCTAATTATTCTAAAAAAATATTTTGACTTAAATTTAATATTAAGTTCAAATATATATTTTTTATAAGTAAGAGGTATCTTCATTCAACTCCTTCCAGCCAACTTGCTTCGGAGTATGACTCTAAAACTAGCTCTTCAATGAAATAGAGGGTGCATTGAAAATTATCACCGTAAAGAGAATGAGACTAATCTTCGGTCAAAGCTCACAGTGTAAGGGTTTCGCCTCTAACCTCAAAGAATTTTGCCGATCGAACCCAAAACTCAATCCTTCGAGACACTTTGCTACCAAATGTGCCACCCCTTAGGGTTAAATATCTTTTTTTTAACCCCTGAAATAATTTTGGGTCCAAAACATAAATGGAGGGACTATTTATACAAAGGGGAAGGGAGGAGGAGAAGATATGACCTCTCAAATATTGGACTTAGAGTCTGTTTGGATCCTTTTCCTTTTAAGTTAGAAGCTATTATAAGATAAAGCTAAAAAAAAAAGCTTAAAAAAGAAAACTAAAAGCTGTTTGATAATTGCATAATTTGTTTAGCTTAAAAGCACATATTTCAAGAAAACTCTTTCTATCTCTATAGCTCTTCATTTAAAAAAAAGAGTAAATACCATTTTTGATCCTCAACAAATTTCATGAAGCCCGCTTTAGTCCCTAGCAAATAAAAAGGCCCATCGTGGTCCCTAAAAAATTCAAAATGGACTCATTTAGTTGAAATTGAGGTCTCTCACAAATTCAAAAAAAGACCCATATTAGTCCTCAAAAGGACTAAAATAGGTCCATTTTGAATTTCTTAGGGACCACGATGAGCCTTTTTATTTACTAGGAACTAAAGCGGGCTTCGTGAAATTTGCTAAGGACCAAAAATGGTATTTACTCTAAAAAAAGAAAACATTTTAAGAAAAGTTGATAAGAGCTTAAGAAAAAACTACTCCTAGGAGCTTTTGACTTTTAACCTTTTTTTATTATAAAAAAAGAACTTTTCATTATAAGAGTTTTTCTCAAAACATGTTTAACTTAGCTTCTATTTTACAAATAGCTTCTAGCTTAAAAAGAAAGGATCCAAACAGGCACTTAGATCCTATTTGACACCTCTTTTTTATTAAGATAAAAGCTAAGAAAAAAGAACTTTAAAAATAAAACTAAAAGTTGTTTGGTGATTATATAAAATTTCTAGCTTGGAAGTTATTTAAAAGCTATTCATTTCAGAAAAAGTTGTTCATTTATAAAAACAAAAGCTGAAACAACTTAAAAAATATTCTTTTTAGGAGTTTTTGGCTTTTGACTTTTTTTCATTATATAAAAAAGCTTTTTTTATTATAAGATCTTTTGTAAAAATCTATTTGGACTAATTTCTATGGGATTTGTTTTTCTCATGTTGCATGAGAAAACAAACACTTCTTACACACACCATAAAAAGGTGTGCCACTCATTTTTTGTTTTTTTAAATAGATGGGTCCCACACATGGTGTATCTATGACATGAGATTAAAATCTCCTACAACATAAGATTTATTTTTTCCAATTTCTATTTATAAAGAGAGAGAAAAAAACTAAAAAAAAAACTCCCAAACAAGCCATTAGAAGAGAAGGGACATAATTTGTATCCATATGGAACTTCAACATTTCTTTAATTCATTTTTTTCTTTAATGGTTTTAGTTATATTTTTTATCAATTAAAAATATGGATAAAATTATATGTTTTTTATTTTTAAATAATTGAGATAAAATTAAGCGTTTATAACCATTTCCCTTTTGTTTAATTCATAACATAATATTTATAATCAAGGAAAAAAAATCATAATTGTATTTTTCACGTCAACAAATGCTGATTCAGATGATGAAAAAATTACTTATTTTAAATTTAAGAATTTAAATCTTTTGAAAAAAAAATAATTTTTCATAAATTAATAAGATCAGCATAAATTTGATAACATTTTTTTCAAAAGTTGGTTATTGAACTATTTTTTAAAAACTCTACGTATCTATCTAATATCTATTTAGTTATATTCAAGTAATACATATTTAATTTTTTTTATGTAAGGTATTAGGTTTAAGTCTCTTTAGAAGAGCTAACCTCATGTTCCTAACTTGAACAAAATTATCTCTCGTAAAGAATAGGTATAATTTATAAAAAAATAAATAAAATTTCTATTTAGGTATCAGCTTGGCTCTGCATATAAGACGTTCATTAACTTTGAATCTGTGCAGAAAAAATCTATTTCAACAAATCTCAATTTGCAAACTAAATTAAACTTTATGATTGCAAATTATAAAATAAAAAAAATTGCAACAAAAAAAAAATTCCGTTGAATCAAGACGTAATTTTGGAATTTGGCCTGAAATAGTTCTTTGGTTAACCTTTTAATAGATAAAATCTTGGCCCGATTCTCCACTAAATGCGAGGATCCCTTCTCAATTTTTATTTATTAAAAGGATTAATTAGGGTAATATAAAAATTTTAAAAGCATATCATTGTGTTCGAAAGTATTTATTGTTGAGAGCTATTGATGTAATCATTTTTAAATGCAATAATTTATTAAATATTATTATTTAGATTCCTTTACCGACGTGGTTGGCATTCGCAGAAAGTCAAGGCTGTGGGCAAAAACAAAGACATCGACCATACTGACATGTTTGTGACTAAAAAATATCGATATTTCATGTTTTAATTAAATTTTGTTAAAACGTCACGTCAAATTTTTTGTTACGGCACCTAGCGAAAATAGACTGGACATGTGGCAACATTTACTTGACCAACTATTCTCGCTAAATAACCTAGCAAAAATGTCAGTATGCTGATACCTGACAAAAGTACATGTATTCTTGTTGGGCAGCCTAGCGAGATTAGCCATCTAAACAGATTTTGCAGAGAATACCTGTACTATTGTCATGTGTCAGCACCCTGCCATTCTTATTGGGCTGCTCAACGAGAATGGTTGTCCATGCAAATGCTGTCACGTGTCCAATCCATTCTCGCTAGATGGCGTAGCGAGAATGTGACGTGGCATTTTGACAAAAATTTTTTCTAATGCGACAATCTAATAAATTTTTTCCTAAAAAGTGACATATTGTCCCGCAAAAACATGGTTCAGGATTCCATTTCCACGTTTATCTCTCTCTTTCTTTAGTTTTTATTTTTCAATACATTAAGACGTTGACATTTAACATTACCATACAAAACTCAAGCTACTAGCATTGAGCGTGCAGTAGAGAGGAATTTTTTTTTTATTCGAAAATCACGATTTCTGAGAAATTGAGTTTTTTAGGAATGTTACCAAAAATTTATTTAGTAGACTAAAATATTCTCAGAAATGTTGGGTTAATTTTCTTTATGCTTGGTTAATTGTATTAATTTTTTCTTGCCATAGAAATCCTAAAATACCACCCCATGGATATTATTCTTGGATGGTATTTTCAAAAAAATTAACACATAAAATAAAATTTCAGAAAAATCAGATTCCCGAATTTTTTCTGAAATCCTAAAAAAACTTTGTACCAAACGGATCCTTAAGGGTGTGTTTGGTACAAGGTATTTTTGAAGATGACTGGTAAACATGAATTGCCATGTTTGGTCCAAGTTAACAA